CATCTTTCTAACCAAGTCTCTCATATTTCAAACTTGTAAGTAAACAGCCAGGCAAGGCGTGTTAGTTTTTACTTTGTTTTCTCAACTTGTGGCCTTCACAACCTCCTCAGGAAGGAGTTCCACAAGTTGACTGTGTGCTGCATGAAGAAGAACTTCCTTGTATTTGTTTTAAACCTGCTGCCTATTAATTTCATTTGGTGACCCCTGGTTCTGTATTATGGGAATAAGTAAATAACTTTTCCTTATCCACTTTCTCCACATCACTCATGATTTTATATACCTCTATCATATCCCCCCCTTAGTCTCCTCTTTTCCAAGATGAAGAGTCCTAGCCTCTTTAATCTCTCCTCATTTGGGACCCATTCCAAACCCCTAATCATTTTAGTTGCCCTTTTCTGAACCTTTTCTAGTGCCAGTATATCTTTTTTGAGATGAGAAGACCACATCTGTACTCAGTATTCGAGTATTTATATAAAACTATTTCCCAGAGCTAAATACCTTTTTTTTAAATTAAGATTCCATCTGATACATTAATTGCCTCACTCACGTTAATCATTAAAATGATTACCAACAGTATGATTATAGCAACACTTAATAATTTAAATGAGAGAAGCAATACCAAGGAGAGAGGAGTGTGTGCATGTAGGGGAAATGAAACAAAACAGCCCTCATGATCCCTGATTTTTAAAAAGCACTTAAGAGACTATCCCTTTCAAGAGTAGCTAGGATAAAATGTGAATCAAATGCTGTATGAGAAGGCAGACATAAGGGTGACATGAGAGAGAAAGTGAAATGATTACCTAAACTAGAGGACTGCAGACAGTGTCCAATTTATGAATTTACCCTGTATAAGCTTTATAAATAGTAAAATGGATTTATTTAGGGTTTGGATCCCATTGGGAGCTGTGTGTCTGGGTGCTGGAGACAGGTAACCTGCTGATCTGTTTTTAGTTTAAAATCTGCAGCTTTGGGGGTGTGGCCCAGACCCTGGGTCTGTGTTGCAGCAGGCTAGCATGTCTGGCTTAGGGCAGGGTTCTGAAGTCCCAAGCTGGCAGGGAAAACAGGCTCAGAGGTAATTTCAGCACATCAGGCGACAGTCCCAAGGGGATCTCTGTGACCGAACTCATCACACTCATAATATTTTGGATTTAACTTTCTGTTTTTGTTTTACTAAAAGACGTTTGGCATCTAGCACTGGCCAACATGGAACTTCATCTGCCATTGTGCTGTCCCTTTACCTATTTTTTGTTAGCACTCTCTGAAATTTCTCACTTTCTTCTCAATTTTAACTGACCTATATAACTTTGTGTCTCCCACTAGTTTTGCCTCCTCACTGCTAATCCCCATTTTCCTTGTCAATGAGAAATAGATTAACTGACAGCCATCCTAGTACAGAGCCTTGGGACACCTCACTGTTAACTTTAGCCATGCTAACTTTTGGCCATTTATTCCTATCCTTGTGTCTTAGCCACTTTCCAATTCATGACAATATTTTGCCTTTCATCCTATGACTATGTAATTTCCTTAATAGACTTTTGTGATGGACTTTTTGAGAGACTTCTTTATCCATTACGTCATTGATGACTGAAGAATTCTAACAGATTAGAAGCCATGCTGGTTTGTCCCCATTATACCATCTGAAACTTCTAGAATTCTATTTTTCAGTTAACATAATCAATTTTCCTTTTTCTGAGGCAATGCTCTTTGGTCTAAAATTATAAGGATCACCCCTAAAACCTCCATATTTTTTAGTTCTGGAATTAGTATTTTCCCAACATCTTCTCTTATTTCCTTATTCTTCTCTATTCTTTCTTTTGCTCACTTGTACTCCAGTACATTTTTTGTCCATCTCTCAGGATTCCTGCTTCTGATAAGCTTTAAGAAATTCTTGAATTTTTTTTTAAATGTCTTTAGCTATTTACTCTTCAAAACCTCTCTTTCCCCTCTTAATCTTTCACTTTTCATTTAATTAACCAAAGATTGTCCTCCTTTCTGGTGTGAAGGATTAATTTCTACTTTTTGAAAGACAGTACAAGGAGGGAAGGCTAAGGCTTGGAGTTACCTTGATCTACATTTATCTCTGACAAACAGAGCACATATCAACTTTGCTTGCTTGCCTTTTTGCCGTGATCTCATTGGTTTTGGTTTCAACTATTTTTTTCCCTTAGATACCATTTTAAAATTACAAATCAGTTGAAAATGAAACCTGTGCTAAGTAAATTTTACTCTCAACTTTGTTTATTGTTGGTACATACTAGTATAGTCCTAATCTTTGCCTGAGCCTGGAATTTCTTGAGTATGCACAGACTGCTCTACCCTCAGGGAGCTGCATTGAAATCCGTGGGCCTCAGCACAGGCACAGCAGTCTCTTCATATGAAAGAAGTTGTGGAGTCCAGGCTTATGTTATCATGGATATCTATTTACACTTTATACAATTTTCTCCACTAATCATGTGTCTCCATTTTCTGTTATGACAGCATGGGCATAGGATAATTTTTTTATGGATTAACAAGATCCTTAATGGTCCTAGTAAAATGATTGACTTTAGGCCCTTTGAAAAACAGGGTGTGTGTGCGCACACATCAGTGCCATCCACAGACAACCTAGATGTGAAAGGAGGGTGGGTGTAGTATACATCCTGCACAGGGCCAAATGTCTCTGGAGTCAACACAACCAGAAGGGGAGCTTCTCTGTATCCATTTTCAGTAACAAATACATGTTTTGTGGTGACTGAGCTCATGCCTGTCAGTGTCATCATTCCCTGGAGTGATTCTGCCTGCTGGTGCTAATTTATCAATAAGAAGAGCTGGAGGTCATTCAAAAATACCAGACTCTACTTTCTGCCATCACCTGCCTGTCCAGTTACTTATCTTGAAGTCTTTGACTTTTTCACTTGATGTACTGCATCTGGCTGAAGTGTAGTGTAAAAATTCTTATCCTTTCAAGAAGATATAGATCTCAAAATATAACAGTACCCTATAGAAGGAGACAAGAATAAAGAACCCACTACTAGCCTGTATCGAAATAAGCATTAGCAAGGAGATTGAGCTACACTTCAATATATTTTCTATCTTTGACCCATTTTACTCTTGATAATCTAAGTTAAATATTACTCAATCTAATGAAGTAGGGCAACTCTTTATTTAATTTTAAAAAATGCTGACCTGGAAGCTGGTGCAACTACACTGATTTCAAAGTTGTTTAAAATGTAAGCTCTACCTAGTAGAGAGCTGTACTGTGGAAAACTAATCTAGACTGGACCTTCTGGGCATGAATACAATGCAAATAAAGAATAAAGTATAACAGAAGCCCATGTCAGAGTGGGGAACAGAAGCCAGGCCCCCCTCTCTTCAGCAACGTGGCCAGGCTTCTTCCTCTAAATAATACAGCTGGAATCAATATCAGCAGAAGGAAAGATGAAGTGAGGGGGGAAGAGAGACGTTTGCAGATGAGATCAAAGGTGATAGAGCCTCCTGGGCGAGGGCTCCCCCTTTATTGACTCACTTGGTGGGAGGGACAGCCTGAGCTGGGACAGTCCTGCATCTTCCAAACTCCTGCAGGAAAGTTCCGTGCCAACCACATCCCCATCACCCAGCCGGACCTGCCCTGAGTCATGCCCCAAAGGATGGGGAGTTGGGGCGGATGAGGAACTGCAGGTGTCCGCGTTGTGGGGCTGCCAGCAGAACCCCCCGCCCCGGGTGGCTGCAGGGACTGAGCGCGCAGGGCAGAGCCAGAGCGCAACCCGCAAACTCGGCGGCGGTCCGGCTTTTCCCATCCCCATAGCAACCGCCCGGGCAACAGGCGCTCGAGCTCCGCGCTGCTCCTCTAGCACAGCGGGCCGGGGGAGCAGCCTCGCCGTCTCAAGGTGCCTGCACAGGGATCGCGGGGGGTCGCACAGCGTTGGGCGGGAGCGGGATGCAGCAACCAGGGCGGTAGGTGGGCAGCGGCGGAGCCACACAGGGCGCAACCAGAGGCGGCTCGCTGCGCTAGCAGGGCGCTGAAAGCAACTGGCTTCCTTGCGCTCTGTCTTTGGGGGAGCACGTTCAGTCCCCGCGCCGCGGATTCCCTGTCCCGCGGGCGGGTATGAGCTGGCACGCTGCCCTCGGCAACGGACAGCCCCATGCCGCCTCCGTCTTGTTTTGTTTTAAAGCGAGTTGCAACTTCCTCCCTCTACAGCAGTACCGAGCTCTGCGAGGAGCGCCTAGCTCTCTTCCCACTCCCACGCCCCGCTAGGGTCGCAATCAAGCAGTGCCGAGGTGACCCTTGTCCTATTGCAAGACCCTCTGTGGGTGGGTTGTTTTTGTTTCGCCTCCAGCTCCCGTTTAAAAGACGCCAGGCATGTTTCCCTTCTAGTAAAGAGGCTCCACCTCTGCGTGGGCTTGATTCGTCTAGCACTTTTAAGATAATTTATGGAGCAACCTGATGAGCTTATTGGCCAAGTTGGATGGTCCTTTTAGAGTCGGATCCTACCTGGCTGGGGGGTTGTCTCCCTCTCGCTCCTACGCGCTGGGGGGACACCGAGATTGCAGAGTAACTACTAGAGAGTGACTTGTAAGAAAACCAGAGAAGAGAGACTTAAAGCCAATGGATTCATGGAGGCGTCCCTCCTTCCTGTGGCCTCTGTGCAGTCCCTGCAGCAGGGGGAGGCTTCTGCTCTTGTTATTGACCGTGCGTTTGGGGAACTGGTAAGTACAAGTGACAACGGGACCTGAAGTGGCTTTGCTTAGTAGCCTCTCTCCCTCCTTCATTGATCGCTTTGGGTTGGGGACGTTGCATAGTAGCAGCCCATTGTAATACGGAGATCACGGGCAGGTTTGTCCCACTCCCCTCCGCCCCCATCACCCAACTCCTTCTTTATGTTTGTTGTCAGATTACTTTCAGCTTGGACTTGCATCACTTTCACCTGCCTGAGAGCATCCTCTAGGAAGGGTGTGTGTGTGTGGGGGGGTGCCCTATTGTTACAAACCTTAACATAAATTATAGCTCTTTTGCAAATGACTCTCTGCAGCCACCGCTAGTGAATCTGACATTGATAAAGTAAAACTTTACTTGATGCTATATGCATCCGAAGAAGTGGGCTATAGTCCACGAAAGCTTATGCTCTAATAAATTTGTTAGTCTCTAAGGTGCCACAAGTCCTCCTGTTCTTC